ATATACAGTATTTCGGCGTCAGGGAGCCGCTATTATACCTGGCATTGTGCTTTTGAGTGCACGATCGCTTTTAGTTTCACTTTCGAGATTCGCGCTCAGACGTACTTTATACTATGGCAGTTCTTGATTTTATATGTTTGTCAGTGGTACTGAGGATCTGCAAATCATTCGCCATCGTCCTCAGTCATCTCTCCTTACTCTGTTTATGTGGTAAGTGAAGTTTTATGTACTGTAATGTAACAGGCAACCTTTACATCGTGTCTACACTGGACGCTTGTCGTGTCGCGCAGCGCCGCATCAGCTAAGGTCTGTCTACACTGGATCCCCCCGCTCGCCCCCGCCGCTGTCATCGTCCATCGCGATGTTTCACTGTAGACATCGTCCGATGACAATTTTGTAGACATCACCCAACTCTACTATATATTTTTTAATCTGTGCATTTTTTTATTTGTGCTCTATTTTTTATCTGTGTTTTATTTTTTTTATCTGAGCTCTATTTTTTTACTATCCTTTTTTTTCATCTGTGCTCTATTTTTTAAATATATGCACCTTTTTTTAATCTGTGCTCTATTTTTTATCTATCCACTTTTTTTTATCTGTGCTCTATTTTTTATCCATCCACTTTTTTTAATCTGTGCTCTATTTTTTATTCATCCACTTTTTTTTTTTTTTATCTTGCTATATTTTTTCTTTTTTTAATCTCTGCACCATTTTTTAAATCTGTGTTCTATTTTGCTTTTATCTGCCATTTTTTCATCTTTTTGTCTGTTTTTTTGCCCTGTAACTTTAGCTTTTGCTGCAGCACAAGTTCGGCATTGAGGAACGCCAGGTGCTTCAGATGGCCGAAATAGGGCTTGATGCATCTCACCTTTATGACGTGATCAATGACCTTCTCCACCATCATGTCATGGCAAATCATCAGATAAGCCAGAAACAGTCGCCGAGTGGCTGAGGCCCTGTGTGCAGTGAGTCAAAACCTTACCTGAGGAAAGACAAACAGAATGACGGTCAAAAAACTCATTCCCAGACAGTAGAACACTTGATAAAAGATGAGAAATTGAGTGTGTGTGTGTGTGTGTGTGTCAGCTCTTACTCGTTGGGTTCCTCAAGGCCTTATGGATAAATTTGGCTGCTGGCAAGAAGTACTTGCTGATGTTGGCCCAGTGTCTGAACGAAGGCAAGCCACAGTAAGTGATGTTCATGCCGCTGTAATATCTGGACCCTGTATTGACCGTTCCTAGTAGGTTTTTCTCGCTTGCCATTCCCAACAAGAACTTCAGGTCCTTCTTGGCCGCTGCAGCGTTTAGGATATGCGTAATTCCCATCTCCTTCAGTTTATCTCGGTCCCCATGCAGTCTCTCTGCACAAAAACACAACAGCCTAGGTTGGTCTTTCGATTTACAATGAAATGACAGCGCTTGTAAATCAATAAGAGAATTATCATTGTCTTTGGTACTCCTGCAATTCATTATTAATTCAACGCATGGTATTTATTAGTAGACTACTTACTCATTTCCAATGAAGACCCTGGGCCAGACCTCAGTGACAGGAGTCTTGGACAGTGTACATTCCCTCAAACGATCCTCCAGCTGGGACACGTTTAGACGGATGTAGTTTTCCAACCTTAAAAGCTCTGATGTCACTTCAGGTTCTGGCTCAGGAGCGCTTGGATCTGGGACACACGATTCCTCTGGATCAACCAGATCCACTTCAGGTTCAGGGATACACGATTGCTCGATATCGACCAGATCCGTTTCAGGTTCTGGTCTGGAAGTGCTTGGATCTGAGACACATGATTCCTCTGGATCAAGAAGCTCCACTTCAGGTTCTGGATCAGGAACGCTGGGATCTGGGACACACGATTCCTCTGGATCAATCAGATCCACTTCAGGTTCTGGCTCGGGAATGCTGGAATCTGAGACACATGATTCCTCTGGATCAATCAGGTCCGTTTCAGGTTCAGGGACACACGATTCCTCTGGATCAACCAGATCCATATCAGGTTCAGGGATACACGATTGCTCGGTATCGACCAGATCCATTTCAGGTTCTGGATCAGGAACGCTGGGATCTGGGACACACGATTCCTCTGGATCAACCAGATCCACTTCAGGTTCCCCAACAGCATTCAGTGCTTTTGTCTGGAAGATTGCAGTCAATCGCTGGAAGACTGCACTTATTTTCTTGAACATCCACCCAGCAGTGCTTTCTGAAAAAAGAAGAAAACAAACGATGCAAGTAAAGTTTGATGACAAACTTGACCAAACCCTTGTCTGACAGTTTAAAATAAAAGCTTGAAGTTTAAATGTTTTACTCAGAGAATTCAGAGAAAATCAAAATCATACTTTAAACCCCTTTAGACCTCATCTGACTGCTAAGAAATCACATCAAAAACCAATTAGACCTTTACAAACAACTATGATTCCTCTGCTAGCTGTTGCTAGCATGTATCCAACAATTTTTAGCAGAGAGATATAGATAGATAGATAGATAAACTCTAAACGAGCCATTACTAGCAAAGAAGCCAGCTACAGGAATTCTGTAAGTCGGATCAGTTAGAAAAGATAAAGCAACAAAATTCAGATCAGCCTGAAGGCCCCTGCCAAATTTGGTAGTCGTAACTTGAAAGCTCAAGGAGATTTTACTCTTGGAAAATTAGGGTGCCAGAAGAAGTGGACGTATAATAGGAAAACAGTATTACGTCTTTGTCAAGCCAACATAATAATACACTATCAGAAGCATCTCGAACCACATGAATAAACACGAATCAGACATATAAAAGCATGTCTTCACCTGTCGGGCTGTTCTCCTGATCAAGAAGCCAGCTACAGGAAATCCATAAGTCGGATCAGTTAGAAAATACATAGCAACAAAATTCAGATCAGCCTGAAGGCCCCTGCCAAATTTGGTGGTCGTAACTTGAAAGCTCAAGGAGATTTTACTCTTGGAAAATTAGGGTGTCAGAAGAAGTGGATGAAATAATAGGAAAACAGTATTATGTCTTTCTCAAGCCAACATGATAATACACTATCAGAAGCATCTCGAACCACATGAATAAACACGAATCAGACATATAAAAGCATGTCTTCACCTGTCGGGCTGTTCTCCTGATCATCGGCCTCTTCCACTGAAGGTCCTGCTGGGTCGCTCAGATCTTCAGACAGCAGCGCAGGGCTCTTCAGCTCCGAGACGCTGCCATTCCTGTTCATCTCCAGCTGCAAATCTTTCACTTCACAGACTGAGATGTCCTGATTCTCATCAGCCTCCAGCTGCACGTGCATCTCTCCTGGACTGCAGTAACCGACTGAGACGTGATCGTCCGTCTCAACCTCCAGCTGCACATCTATCTCTTGAGATGCGCTGCAGCCGAGAAGGTCGTAGATGGCATCGGTGATCTCAAACTCCAGCTGCACATCTTTATCATCTGATGCCCAGTAACTTTCCCCGGAGTAGAAGGCGCTGTTGAAGTAAACCTCCAGAAGCACCTGGCTGACCTCTGTGGACATTGTGTCTGGTGTTCTGATACTGACAGATCAATAATCTGTACTTAACAATGTACAGTTATCAAACTGACTGTCTGTTTGGGTCTATAAACCGTATCTAGAAACTCATTAAGGACTGCCGTCTGGTCTATAGTTGTAAAATTACCCTCAAACTCGTCTAAGCTCTTTGTTGTTCTTTGGGCGCGCCTCAATTTAAATACCGTGCTCTGTGACGTCATCGCCACATCACAGTTCCACAGTTGCCATAGCAACGGAATGTCAGCTAATAATGACTTTATTCAACAATTCGTCTCCTCTGTGTCTCTCCGCATCACCGTAGCACTATTTTGGAGGATATCCGCTGAATGCAAGCAGCGTACGCTATTCAGTGTCAGACGCGCTGCACGGATGCGCTGTTTTCGTTCAAATCACAGCGTAAATACACGTAGAAAACGTATCCTTGTGTCGCGGCTGACACAGAAGAGCGTATGCTGCTTGCGTTCAGCTCATATTCTTCAAAATAGCGCTACGGTGATGCGGAGAGACACAGAGGAGACGAATTGTTGTGTAAAGTCGTTATTATTGTTTTCTTCGCGTACAAAAAGTATTCTCGTCGCTTCATAACGTTACGGTTGAACCACTGATGGCACATGGACTATTCTGACGATGTCTTTCATCCTTTTCTGGACCTTGACAGTGTAAGTTACTTGGCAGTCAATGGGACAGTCACAAGCCTCCCGGTTTTCATCCAAAATATCTTAAATTGTGTTCCGAAGACGAACGAAGCTTTTACGGGTTTGGAACGACATGGGGGTAAGTGATTAATGACAAGATTTTCATTTTGGGGTGGAGTATCCCTTTAAAGCAGAATTCATAATGTTTAGCTTTTGGTCCAACTTAGTAAGAAAAACTACTAGTTAGCTTTTGTTTCAGCTGCTTCAAAGATGACGTATAAAGAAACAAAATGCCAAAGCTACTTGAAGTCAAAAGTTGCGAAAAGCCGTGCTTAGGGAAAGCACACAGAATAAATGCTTCTTCTGTTTAAAATGCTAAAATATTTGAATGTTTCGACCTCTAATTTATTTTTTCTATTTTACTATGATTTGTTACTATTAATGTTAAAGGGATAGTTCACCCAAAAATAAAAATTCTCTCATTAATTACTCACTCTCATGTCGTTCCAAACCCGTAAGACCTTCGTTCATCTTCGGAACACAAATTAAGATATTTTTGATGAATTCTGAGAGCTGTCTGACCCTCCCATAGACAGCAAGGTAACTACCACGATCAACGTCCAGAAACGTAGCAAGGCGATCGGTAAAATAATCCATGTGACATCAGGGGTTCAACCGTAATTTTACGAAGCTACGAGAATACTTTTTGTACGCAAAGAAAACAAAAATAACGACTTTATTCAACAATTCGTCTCCTCCGCGTCACCCTGGCGCCATTTTGGAGAATATCCGCTGAACGCAAACAGCGTATGCTATTCTGTGTCAGTTGCGTCACGCAAATACGTTTTCTACGTTGTTTATGCTTTGATTTGGACGAAAACACCGTATCCACGTAACGCAGCTGACACAATAGCATACGCGGTTTACGTTCAGTGGTAATTACATTGCCGTCTATAGGAAGGTCAGAGAGCTCTTAGAATTCATCAGAAATATCTTAATTTGTGTTCCGAAGATGAACAGAGGTCTTACAAGTTTGAAACGACATGAGGGTGAGTAATTAATGAGAGAATTTTCATTTTTGGGTGAATTATCCCTTTAAAAGTCTACTGTTTTTTATGGAAGCCCATTTCCGCCACAGAATAAAAGAATTAAAAATTCTCTCAAAATTCTGAAGAAAAAAGTCAAAATTATGAGGTATAAACTCACAATTCTAAAGGAAAAAAAGTTTGAAGTATGTGATATAAAGTCCGAATTCTACAATTTTTCCCTCACGGTTTCAAATTTACATCTCACTACTTTTTTTTTTCTGCCACGGAAAAAAAAAGTTTAACTTATCTCACAATTCCAACTTTCCTTATCAGAATTCTGAGTTAATATCCTGCAATTCTGACTTTTTTTCAGATCTTGTCAGATTTGCGTGATTAAAAGTCGCAATTAACTTTATTTAATCATTTTTTTCCATGGTGGAAACAAGCTTCCTTATTATTATTATTATTTTTTTAAACCTGATTTTGTTATTTGTTCGTTTTTCATAGTGTGTTTTTTAGACTACAGTAGTCAACTTTTGAAGTGGATCAAAACCTTTCATCAAAGTTGCCCTAAGACCAAAATGCGTTCTTGTCTTATGACAACTTTGATGAATTTTTTTGATCAGACTACATATTGAATCCAATTAGGGTCAGTTCGACCTGCACCATTAAGATAGTTCCCAGGTTTTTAACATAGGTGAATATTTATTATTAATCATGTCATCACACAGCTGACTCTCAGCAAATTTGCAATCTTCCACATGAGTTTCCATGCAAGAATATGGAATGGAAGTTAAACAGAGCAGTTTTTAATAAGCTTTTACCTGGTTGTTGGCTATGGTGTGGTACCAGTAGAAGAGGCGTGAGGTGATGAAATACGCCACCACTACATCCACGCTGTAATGCTCATGCGCCATCAGGATACAGACCACGCCCACCGCGCTTAGCAACCAGCAGATCACATGATAGCAACGCCATAGCAACGAGCGGGGCGAGTCTACCACACAAAACAACTCACTTCAAAACATAACCAATCCTTAACTGGGTTAAAAAGAACAACAGTGGGAATGCAAGTGGACTGAGAGCCGATGGAAATGATGATGATGATGGTTTCCTTATACTCACATTCCTGGATGAAGAGGAAGGTGAGGGTCAGCATGACCGTGTGGCCGCTGTATAGGAAGTCTCCACACATGAGATGAGAGGCAGTGATGGACAAACCTGCTCCAGACACCAGCTGCAAAACACGCTCGATCTTGCCGTGAGAATCACCGTAGAGCTACAGACAGAAGCATGCCAAACATAAAAGAGGCATGAGATAGAAACACCAAAGCTTCCCACGAAGGCATGCTGCAATTCAGCATTGCACGCAGAAAATACATCATAGCTAATGCATGTGATACATTTATGGAATAATTTTTTTTTTAATCTCACAAATTAAAATGACTTATTTCTCGCAATTGCAAGTTTAAATCTCACAATTCAGACTTTTTTTTTTTTTTTTTGAGAA